AGATAGATAGATAGATAGATAGATAGATAGATAGATAGAAATGGATTTTTTTACACTTACTTATTATAATTAGCATTTTTATCAATTCAAATTTATAGTGATTTCAAGTATTTCAAAAAAAAAAAAATATATATATATATATATAATCCAATAGAATAGCAGGTCAACAATGTGTTTACTTGAATTGTCTAGAAATAAAATATTTAAAATATTATCTTACACTTTATTTCTAGACAACATTAAAATAAATATGAATATTTATTTTAATAATGTAGCTATCTAATGTCAAATGTGAAAAGGGGTGTTTATTTGGCACACTCAATTTAAGATATATTAAAAGAAATCTACTGTGTAGATGTAGAAGAAGGTTTTATTGAATAAAAGGTTTATTTTAATTATTACTTCTTGACAATCAATGTAAACACATTGACATACACACTTTACCTGCTATTTTGGTTGTAAGTCGTGATGTTTGATGACAAGAAAAATATTTTGAGATCTTTAATATGTTAAAAAACAAATATTAATTCTAATACGTGGAACTAATCTGATGACAACTAAAAATTATGAAAAAAATATTTATTTGACACCCTTTGAATTGAAGGTAGGCTAAACAGATCGATTGTTTTGCATACGGTGGATTGTTTTGTGTCTAAATATGGCGATTGGTCGTGTCAGAGAGGTTCTGCTCTTCAGTATTTGTCACTTCGAGTGTTTGTCTATTAGTACACACCGTGCGATTTCGAGGCGAACTCCCTCCTCTTGTCTTTCCTCAATGAGTGTGTTGATTTGCAGAAAAGAAGAAAGCGGAGTGGAAAGATGAGTGGATATGTGAGAAAATTGCGCTCATTTTTCCCGGGCATGTTCATTCATTTGTGCTGAGGCGCGCGGCGCAGTTCCCTCAGAGATAGAGAGCGCGCGCTTTAACAGCCCGCCAAATTCACCTGCCAACACCAATACCGCGCGTCTCGCTAGATCACAATGGAAACGAAACCAACAGAGCATTTATTTCGATGTCCCCCAAAATATGTATCCTTAAAGCCAATCTGTTTATAAAACACGCTGGAGTTGCGGCATTTGGGAGGCTTTTCAGTCACCTTATGAAGAGTTTTTACTCTGAGGGGAAGGTCGCTGAGGGCGTGGGTCAGCTTAAAGGCGAATTTACGTTTTACAGATTGAGTTATTTCAGTTTTACGGTCGTTAGACTCGATCACTCATTTCATCTGTCACATCCTGAGTTCTCATAATTATGTACGTCGACATTCAGATGTTTTCTGTCAGTCATTCGCAAGGGGGCGATGAAGGGCTTCATCTGGTGTCTGCCATCTATCAGATGCGCGGTGATGGACATCAAACTTTGAGGTGCGCTGATTTGCAACAGCTCCTGCTCGCTAAATAAATAAACAAGTTGTTGTTTTAGCTTATCTCTGCTTTCTAAACGTGCAGCCTGACTAGATTTCCAAACATCCGCCTTCAACATCCCTCTCTCTCTCTCTGTATTGTTTACATGTCAGCGATGATGTTTTTATCATGCTGATTATAACACAAACTATTGTGTACAGCATATCATCGCAGATTGTGCGTCTCATGTGAACCGCGAGACAACAAAATTAAACGTATTTAAGAAAGAGACACACTTTCAAGCTATTTATATCGCTTTCTGATCCATTAAGGCTTGGTTTAATAAGCTGATTAGCTTTCCAAGATGCTACATCTCTCCTTTCCCTCTTTCTCTCAGTGTTTGTTTATGCTTTTTAAAGATGTTGAACTGACAAGACAAAGTGTTGTGTACATGTCGCAGATTGTTTCATATTTTATGAACCGCGACGCAACATGCACTTTAAACCCATTCAAAATGTAGCCTATTCAACGATGAGAGGCTCTTTAAATCTATTTACAGATGCTAAATGGGCTCGGGTTAGACCGACAGCCACACAATAAGACTCCGGGGAACTTTTGCGGAATTCCAAACACACAATAATGAGAATAACGCCAACTTTTTTCGCGTTCAAAGGCGCTTGTTTGACCTGTTGGCTTTAAAAATCGATATTCAGCGCTCAAACCATGAGAGGCAGAGAAAAGGAGAGAGAGAACAAGACGCAAATGTACACTGGGCGTGCGCTTTCGAGTGAGGGAGAACGCCACGCAACACGGTTTCTTTTTTAAACACCAAACGGGCGCGGTAATGAGGGCATTAGGCGCGAACGCCAGCTGACAGAAGTTGCCGCCGTTCCCGCACCAACTTTTCACCTCCGAAACCCGCGAATGGATGTGCACTTCACTAATGATAAGGACTTGGAGAGCTGAGCCGCCTTGGTTGCCTTGATAACTCGCAGAGAGCAGCGCTGGCGTATTGTTGCAGTCAGTTTGAAAGCACCTGCGTCCAGTTGTTGTTTCCCGCTCGGATGTTTTCCGCTCGCTGATTTTGTCCGGTTTATGTTTGCTCAACGGGACTAGTGTTCTCCCGGAACGAAGAGGTGCGATGAGGCTGCTCTGCTGGAGCTTTCTGCTGCTTATCCAATGGATCCTGAGAAAGGTATGAGAGCACGTTCTGAGTTTAACATCTGTACATGTTGACGGAAATTATGGTGTGGTCTCTCGCTTTGCGATGCTATTTTAATAACAATACATGGAGTTAAATCACAGTATGATTTCAGGTGATGGTGAACTGCTGGAATCAACATATTCTAATAACTTTCATATTCTGGGAATATAGTAAATATTCATACACAGGATTTTTGATTAAAGTGCAATCATACTTTTGTAAACAAATGTTTTACAATTAAACTGAGTGAAATATGGAGAAATCCCACCAACAAAATGGCTTCAATTTGGTCTAATTATTAAATCAGAAATTAAACCCAATTATTCATGTTGTTTTGTTCACATTGTACCCAAAGTTGGGTTAAATTAACCAAGATATTTGTCTAAATGCACCTAAAGGTATTGAAGATTGTGTCTTTGGCAAGCAATTGAAATCTGAATTCTCAAATCACATCTATATTCATAATTTTCATAAATTAAAGTACACACTCTTTCACTTTTCTTGCACCTGAAGGGTTCATAAAGATCTTAAATTGACATATTAGTACCTAAAAAGTCCAAAACGTGTCGTTTAGCTCTTAATTTAAGATATTAATATCGACTCTTTAGGTGAAGATGTGTCCACCACTGATGGCTTGTGCATTATTATTATTTCTAAGAGTGTAATAAATATTAAAAATCTTTAATAAACGTGTCTGTGTGTGTGTGTGTGAGCAGAAACACATTTATTTCGCTGTCAGATTTTCCTCCTCATCTTCATACTGGCCTCGCAGTGGCCCGATGCGAGGAATACAAAAAGGGCAGCTGCCACGTTTATTTTATTTTCACGTTTGTGCATAATACCTGAGAACACTAGTGAGGAATTTGTGCAAGTGATATTAACACCAAGCCATCAAAACAGCCTATTTGATGGTGCGTACCTGAAATAAAGCATTTAAGATGAAGTTTCATCATCTTATGTTAACAGAAATGGCACCGTGCAGCTGTCTGGAGACTGTTGTTTGACTTAAAAGCCTGTTTTAATCTTGAAAAGGCTGTTTATGATCTGGCTCGTCATCACTTCTCTGCGAAACCATCCCAGTGTAACACTGATTCGCTGGAGATTCGGATACACAGTGAAGCACACACACATAATGGTGTATTTTTAAGATGCATAACTGAACTGGAGGCCAGTTTTGGGGTTGGCCGAGTGCTGTTTATTAGGGGTGTTTTTATAAGGCAAGCACCATCTTATTGATGATCCCATTACCTCCCTCTGTAAGTGTGATCATGTCATAATGACCCAACAGTAAATCGCAGCCATGTATCACAGTCTTGTCCTGCCAGCGCAGAGAAATATGGCTCGGATCTTTTATGCTTGGTCCGCTTTATTAATGTCTTTATTCTCCTCTTGTTCAGAAGGATCTCATTTTTAATGCAACTCATTTTTAGCGATCAGAGATCCATATCTCATGCTTTACACAGTACACCAGTGATTATTAAAGCATATTTTACTTTGGCTTACGTTTTTATGACCCCGTACATCAAGAGGCCGTGCCTTGCTCTTAAACGCAGCTCTTAATGTTTGTTCCCACGATGCCACTTTGCATATAAAAATTGTGCGTATTTTAAGCTG